TCCTATTATGCACAACCAGGATGACATTGGGAGATTCTCATTTAGGCAAAAGACTATCCTCTTTCCTTCATGCTCTTCTTCTATGTGACCCGGAAACCGATAAGTTGTTCAGTGGTCGAGGAGTGTGTCAATTCGTTAGTAGGCAAACAGAAGTGTCCTCTCCTCCTCGATAGCCACCTTTCATCAAGGATACTCACCCCCTTTGAATCAGCTTTTGTTTTGTCAGAGGTGAAAAACATGCACACGTTTAAAAACAATATGCTACTTATTGTTTTATCTATAAAATGTCTTACATTTTACATTTACATTTTAGTCTTGCACAACTAACTTCATTTGTTTTGAGCACTTTACACATTTATTTTGGGATCCACCCCTGTAAACCTAATTTGTTTAATGAAGCACTAGTGGAGAACGTAGCTGTGGCCAAAAGGCTGTTTTAGCATGGTCAGCCACAGCCTAAAATGACCTGTATCAAAGTGTGTCTGACAGTGTTATTTCATCTTGGCATCAAGTTTCAGACCTGAACAGTGGAGTTTCAAAATGTATCAGCTTGAAATGTGTCAGATTCTTAGTCCCAGTCTGATACATAGTGGTGCTGTTTGAGAGAATGGCCATGTTCGAGAGGATGAAAACCGCAATGTATCATGGGCAAATTGTGACTGATTGACTGATCTACAAATAATAATGAGTTGTTATTTATGATTCAAGGTGATTTGTAAATCAGTCAGTCGGCAGTCACCTGCAGTTGTTTTGATGCTCTCGAACACTGCCAACTATTCCAGGTGCTTGAATGACACATTGGGCGCGTTTGAGCAGATCACTTTTGTCAAAATGTTGACCAACATTGGTCAAAACCTTTCAAAGTGTGTTGCATTATGGGTAGAAAAATTGTCTGATTTGCGACTACATTTCAACTGCATGAGCTTTACAACAACCATGTGATCAAAGGTCATGAACTTTCGACTGCAGTCGACTGGAAATTGTGGGAGACAACCTTCTTCTGTTTTTGTTTTTTTTAGCAAATGGCACTACATGCTCATAAATGGTTGATGTCGCCACCTATCATTGGTTATTATCAAGGCATGTTTACTGTTTTGGGTGGATGACTATTTAGAGGCTTACCTAGAAAGACTCACACCTGTAATTGCTGCCAAAGGTGATTATAACATGTATTGACTCAGGGGTGTGAATACTTATGCAAATTAGATATTTCTGTATGTTGTGTAGATGGGTGTGAAAAAATGTATTTAATCAATTTTGAATTCAGGCTGTAACACAACAAAATGTGGATTAAGTCAAGGGGTATGAATACATTCTGAAGGCACTGTATCTGCACATATGTGACGTAGTACGCAATTCTCGGGGAACACTTTTGGCTCGTGAGTGCTACTTTCAGAACTACTGGCAAAAAAGTATACAAAAGTACAGAAGAATCTCTTTAATGTTTAACTATTTTTTTTTTCTGAAAAATATATTATTTTATAAATTAAATAATGTTGCCTATTGCATTTACAACACAACAGTACAACAACAAATCAAAATACCCCAAAAATAACTTGAAACATATGTTTTAAATGCAATATATTTTTATTACTATTCTAAAGAAATTAAATTACAAACAGAAAATGGAAGTCTTCAAAGGTGGCAGTCTCCATGTGATCTCATTTGGAGATGTAATATCTGCAGCTTTTATTCAATATCACTTGGTTTAAGAAGTAGTCCTCAGTCTTAATTGACGCAAACCTCAGTGAGCCCAGACTGTGTGTAGCAGGGCTTCTCGGTTGCCTCGTAGTTGGATGCCTCAGCATTGTCAGATACAACTTTGGCTAGCTTGGTGTCGAATGGGTTCAATGCCACCTGGATGGCAGGCTCAGAGTCAGGCACAAGGAAGTTATCTGGGATGCTAGGCAGAGGCGGCTCACACTCTCTCAGGCTGACAGCACTCTTTCCAGGTCTCTTTTCCGACTCAGATTTGTCCTTAGTGGAGATGAACTCCTTTGACTTCTGCAACTCTTTTGCAGAATCGTCAGAAATGGGGGCACACTGTGGTGTGGATGATGCTTGTTTCAAACCAAACCGTGAAGAGATGCTCTCCCGAACTCTGGATGCCAGTGTCTGTGGTTCAGCGGTGGCTGGTTCCCTTTTCTTCAACCTGGCAGTGGCCAATAGCATCAGATCGCCTTCTAGCCTCCTTGGAGATTCTCACAGCATCATAGAGAACCACTATTACGATGAAGCCATAGAAAACGAGCCCCAAAATCAGGTTCACCTTCACAAGTGGCTCGGAGTAAGAAGGGTCAGTCAATATGTTGACTCTGGGTTTGATCTTCAGGGTGCTCTTCTGAGCTTTTGGAGCTGGAGCCTGAAGATTTTCTTTGAAGACGTTGTTGTCACCTTGCAATGCTTTTTGCTTGTAAGCCTGTAGATAAGGAATACGTTTCTCCACAATCATCTGTGGGACTTTAGCTTTACCTGGGAAAGTATCATCTTTCATCCTCTGAAGTTGTTCCAGCATCTGGTCCACTTGCACCATTTTGGTCCATTTTGCAACATTGGGGATGTCCTGAACAGGGTGGTCCTTCACTGGCATCAAAGGCCTGTGCTCTGGAACAGAAATCAGGGGCTCTACAAGCTCCGAGGGCTCTTTTGAATTTTTTGAGGAATATCCTTTTGTCAACTGGCCCACGTTACCTGGAGAAGAATCGTCTTTCACCCGTAAACTCTCAAGTTGTTCCAGCAATGACTTAAAATTGGTCTCTTTTGTAGCATCAGGGTTGTTCTGAACAGAGTGGTCCTTCACTGGCATCAACGGCTTGTGCTCTGGAACAGAAATCAGGGGCTCTACAAAGTCCGGGGGGTCTTTGACATTTTTTGAGGAATATCCTTTTGTCAACTGGCCCACATTACCTGGAGAAGAATAGTCTTTCACCCGTAAACTATCAACTTGTTCTTTTGTAGCATCAGGGTTGTTCAGAATAGGGTGGTCCTTCACTGGCATCAAAGTCTTGTGCTCTGAAGACACCAACACATTTGCAGCAACAGGCGAAAGGAGACAGAAAATAACAGCCAACAATAACATCTTCATGTTGCACAGCCCACCCTTCTGGGAGAGCTGTGCCATTTTGATTAAAGAAATCGTCTTTCAAAAGTAGGCAGTACAAATTACAAGTCAAACTACTAGTTGGCTAGCTGTGCTTTGTAAAAGTGAATTGGGTTTACTGTTCACTGTCAAACATACACAAGATATGGACCCAACATGATGTAATAGAAGAATCTGATTATAACATCACGTGTTCCAGAATGTTGTAACCTGCTCCTCATTGTATTCATTAATTCTGATAATTCATTAATTCATCTCTTTGGATACATTTGGCAATTAGTTTGACGTGCAGTCCCTGTCCCTAAACTGCTTTCTCCTACGACTTTGGCAAATGCCCCCGTGACCTACAGCTCCTCATATACTACCAGGTCATGGTAGTATCTACACTGGTGCTGGTGCTTGCGATGACCCAGCTAATTATGAGCTTTCTGACCCAGGGAGTGAGACACTTTTTGGCCTTCCTCATGGCCCGCACTGCCCCCCTGGAAACCAAATGTTTAAAGACATGGTACTTTGGTGACTAAGAAAGTATTTTTTAAACCTCTCACTTTGGGCTGGATGCTTCAATGTCTAGAGCTTAAATATATCTTTATACTTACATGTTTACAATCTAATTACATAGGCCTACCTGTGATCCAAATGTCTAACAGAAATAAATTAAATATCCTTGCGACAATATAGCTAATGTATTTATCTAGCTGCTACTGTAATGTTGTGTCCCATGTTATAGCCTACCATTTGTCTTGTCTGTAATATTGTTGTCACCAAACAAATTCACATTTCTTGATTGTCTATTAAGTGTGAATAAAATTGAATACATATAGTAGGCTACACATGGGTTATTTTAGGGGATTACTACATTGGCAAATTTAGAGGCTTTATCTGTCTCCGGGAAACCGCCCCTTAATGTATAAGTACCCCAGACACCAGTCGTGGGGTCAATACATAGTGCATTTGACTGCTTGACATATTGCTTGGCATATTGTTCACCCAGTAATTTATGTATAGTCTAATCATTTTCTGTACAGTGAGTGTTTTGTCCTTCATGTGATTGAATAAAATTATGTTCTTTATAATGCTTACTGACAAAAGCAACATAAAGGTTGAGAATTATAGAAATCCACTCCAGGCTGTAGTGATGCTGACATTAATATGCAGTAAGAATCTTCGTGGACTCCATTTAATTAATCTGTTACAATTGGAAGGTATAAGAGCACGATGTAATGGCAAACAACAGAGCATATTCCATATGCTGCAAAAACACCTATATGTTCTCGTTCTAGTAGTTTATGCACTCACTACCTGGTAATATTTTAAGAAAACAGTCACAAAAATACAAAACAAGTCGTGTGATTGTTAGAAAGAGCTTGGGCTGGTATCTAATTTCCTTATCATTAGGATATTAATTCATTTGAACATGTTCAACGTGTTCCTTGGAACATGTTTAACGCATCCACTTCATCGGCAATAACAAACGCGAATTCCATGTGTGCCATTGCCGCGTTTCCAAGAAACAGCAGTTGTGCATATTTACCTCCCTCGACTTTACTCGACTTCTGTCTACAGTCGGCTACTTTTGGCTTCCCACTAGTGATGGGTCATGCGCACAAGCATCGGCTCTGAGAGCCGGCTCTTTGTAGTGAATCAGAAGAGCCGGCTCGCATCGAGTGAGAGCCGGCTCCCAGTTTTTTGCCCATTCGCTGCTTAGGTTTCACTTTCACAGAGGTCTGTTATGATTGGCCAGCATGGCGACCAGCATGCGGCATTCACGTGAGAATTAAGGATGTGTAAACAGAGAGGGGGCGGGGCAGACACACCACTTGACTCCACTGCAAGTGAAGAGAGAGACAGAGCGGACTGAGGAGCGTGTGTGCGTCTTGCATTGTCGTGTCGTTTAACTATGAGTGACACTAGAAAGCGAAGCAGCATCTGGCTGCAGTTTAAAGATATTGGGAACAAGAAAGCAGAGTGCCTTCACTGCAAAACGAAGGTCACTATAAGAGCAGGTTCCACCACAAACCTGCATAGACATACAAGAACTGTCCATCCTACAGTGCAGTTAGAGGAGAGAGGGCAAGCCAGCTCACCATCTACTGATCCTGGTGTGTCTCATACCAGAACAACAGCTGCTGTAACGTCTACTGCCATCCCCATGCGTGCAAGTATAACCTCTCCTACTGCAACTCAAAGCAAAATAAGTCAGTTTTTACCTAAACTGATGACCCCAGCCAAACAGCACAGTATTGATGATGAGTTGGCTAAAATGGTAGCTTCTGATTTTCAACCCTTTTCCATTGTGGAGGACAAAGGAATGAAAAACTTTGTCAAAGCCCTAAATCCCACATACACTCTACCCAGTAGAAAAACACTTTCCCAAACAATGATCCCAAAACTATATGACACAGAACGTGCATTATGGCAAGAAAGGGTGACAAAAGCTCCATCAGTTTGCCTGACAACTGACTGCTGGACCTCCAGAACAACCTGCTCTTTCATGTCTGTCACTTGCCACTTTATTGAAGATTACAAGATGACATCTTGCCTTCTGGACTGCTTCGAGTTCACCGACAGACACACTGCAGAAAACTTGGCAGTGGAGCTACTAAGAGTGGCAAAAGAGTGGCAAGTAGAGGACAAAGTGGTGTGCTGTGTGAGTGATAATGCTGCAAACATCACCAAAGCCATAAAAGTTTTGAAGTGGACCCATCACCCATGTCTGGCGCATACACTAAACCTGGTGGTTAGAGATGCTCTGAAGGTGATCAAAACAACCGTGGATAAGGTGAAGGCTGTTGTGGAGTTTTTCCACAAAAGCACAGTAGCAGCACAGAAGCTAAAGTCCACACAGCGCCAAATGGGGATTCCTGAACTGAGGCCCAAACAAGAGTGTGCCACCAGGTGGAACTCAACATTTGATATGTTGAAACGAATGCTTGAAATAAAAGATGCCATCATCTCCACCCTGGCCCTCATCAACGCATCTATTGAGCCATTAAGCCAAGAGGAATGGGAGCTGGTGAAAGAGGTCTGCGCCGTCCTGCAACCATTCCAGGAGGTGACTGTGGAGATAAGTGCAGACAGGTACCTAGAACCATTGAAGCATTGTTTTCTCTACTACTATTCAGTCACTATTATACATTGCAAACACAACACATACAGTATAATGCATCACGTATAATATGCCACATACTTTTAAAAAACTAAATTCTAAAAGTTGCTGTTTTCTCTCCTTCAGCTATGTCACAGCCTCGAAAATGCTCCTGCTTTGCAAAGGTCTGCAGCTGGTGACAGCCGAGAACCAATGGACAGTAACTGTGCAGAAAGTGAAGGAATTAGTTGCAGCTCTTTGTTCAGCCATGGACCGCAAATTTCTGCGGATGGAGTACAACACTGTCCTTTCAGAAACTACCTTATTGGATCCAAGGTTTAAAAAACTTGCCTTCAGTGATCGTAGAGCTGTTGATGAAGCTCTTCAGAGGATTAGTGCAGCAGCAGCAGCAAAATGCACCCCCAGCAGCCAGCCAGCTCCACCATTACAGGGCCAAGTGGAGGAGGAGCAGCAAACCTCTGCTGTTTGGAGGCTTTTTGATGACAGAGCTACAGGAGATGCTTCAAGGAGAAATCCGACAGCTGATGCTATAATGGAGGTGAGGAGCTACCTTGAGGAGCCCCTCATCCAGAGAGCAGAAGACCCACTGAGCTGGTGGCAGGCCAAGGCCTCAGTCTTTCCACTCCTGGTGAAGGTGATGGAGGGGGAGACTATGTATTGTTGCCACATCAGTTCCTTCTGAGAGAATCTTCTCCAAAACAGGGCAGATACTCACGGAGAGGCGAAATCGTATCAGGCCTATCAGCCCATCCAAGCTGAGGCATCTGATCTTCCTGAATGCCAACCTGCCCTGAGGACTAATGCTGTTTGCTGGAGTTTGGTTCTGGTTTTGATTCTGTTCTGTGGATTTGTTTGAAGTTTATTGTTAATTTGTGCAATAAAAAAGTTTAATTGAAATAAACAAATGTAAGAGTGGTTTTGTCACAGAATAAATGCACAGAATTAGGCATTATAAGGTCTCTCATAAAAACACTGAAAGCAAAAGGGTTTTCAACACATAAACCATGATTTTTTTTCAAAGTTAAGGTAAAATATAGGCTACAAAAGATCCTAAATAAAGAGCCGTTCGGGAGTCGAAAGAGCCGGCTCTTCTTTGGGAGCCGAGTCAAAAGAGCCGGCTCTCAGAAAAGAGCCGAACTTCCCATCATTACTTCCCACTCAAACGCGCCTATTGTGTCTGACAGTTTATAGTAGTGTCAGTATTCCCTCCAAGTAACGTCATTGGTTGTTGGTGAGATGGGGCGGAAGCTCTGGCCGAGGGAATCTCATTAAATCAAATCAAATTTCAAACGGTCAACGTTGACGCGTGTATTTTTCTAGCGCGGTCTTTTATAAAATGTAGAGCCTCTCCACAACGTGACTTGATTTCAACAATAAGATATTAATGGACCCAACAAAGTCGACGAAGGATTTCAATAAAAAGGTAAGGGCACAATTTATAAAGTAGGTCTAATGTCTGAACATCAAATGTTTGCTGTAAATTTCAATGATTTGCTTATCCAGCGGAATTAAGAGCGCTACCTAGCTATCTAACTTTTGTCTAGCTACCGATTTAGCTAACTTTAGCTAACATCAGCTAACCAGCAGGGATGAATACAAATATTGTATGTGAGCTAATGTTAGCTACCCAGGTATCAAAAATACGTTTTATACAACTTTTTTTTAGGTGTTGGATTGGTTGTCTAAACATTCTGAATGCATTCAGATAAACGTTCGGTTTTGGTTAAAGTGTAGGTGGCAGATTACGTTTTGTAAACATTTGTCATAGGTGTTATCGTATCTGAAGATTATGCCTTTGTTAAATGTTTTTCATGACGAAATGGAATGTTGGTTGTTAGTATAATGTAACATATAATAGACAGGAAGTGTATTGTAAACTGGCCAGCAGAGGGAGCCATCTTGTTGCATTGGTTATAAATAGGGGTACACGAAGAAGATAGGTCAGAGCAGACATCAGAATTGGACGACACTACTGCTCTCCGGGTGTCATGTCACCTGTTACTCATGCTGAAGCTTATGATCTGAATAAACCTTATGATCGACGTTCAGTATGAGCAGACTCCTTGATTGACGGTAACACCTACGAATAACATACACTACATAATGGAGGCTCCGCTGAGATATTGATTGCGTCGTTATTGGTCCCTTTCCTGGATTCGCGAGTTGACTACGGTTCAAGCCGGCTAAAGGTGAGATGATTCACAAACTTTGGACCCTAGTCATTTCGTTGATTGGGGAGAGGGCTTTGACGGTGTACGGTTAAAAGGACTTGGGTCGTTATTGAGGTATGGTGTTGTTGTTGATTCGGAGTCTGATAACAAATATTCTAAATTGGGTTGATGGGTAAATGGGGAATAATAGCATGTTTAGGACAATGGATTGGTAGAGAATAAAGGTTGGAAGACGTCTGCATAATTAGGGCACCGTGAATCTGGAAAAGACCTCGAGGAGGCGATTCTTTATGAATGGGCTACAAATCCAGACTTAGTTAGTATTGGGTCAGGTTGATTTCTTAAGCGGGAATTATGAAGTGAATTGGTGTATTTATGTTATACTCCGCCTCTGGTCGACGGGAAATTGGTTTGGGGATAACCGCTTGATATGAGATTCATCTTTCAAGGCAGCATAAAGTTAGAAGGAGATTATTGATGATCATGGAAAATGATTGGGCCGCGGTGCGGGGTGTTCATTGGTATAGCTAGTAGGCCACAGTTGGCTAGAGGCTGAAGCTAAGGCTTGATTGTTTCAGGCCACGTGGTACATCGTTGCTCAGGTTCTAAAGTGGGAATCATGCTATGGTGTACCTTAGGCTAAGCTAAAGGCTAATGCTACAGGTTAATTGTGTTGTGGGCTATATGCTAACGGATATCCTTAGAGATTCCGTTGCGACGGGTGAAAGTCTCTTAAACTTGTTTATGTGTTTGTAAGTCAGGTTATATGTTTTGTGAGCGCTGGTAAATGTTGTTTGATTATAAGGGGGAAATGGGAATTACAGCTGGACTGTTATTATGTTTGGGGAGAGAGAAGAGAGAATCTTTCTTCCACGGTGAAAAGTATTTTTGAATGGTTATGCGCATGCGTTTAATTTTGCGACACTACACTATAGAAAGGGGGAGTTTATGACACGAGATTATGACACGTTTTGGTTTACGGCACTAAATCTTCGACATGCGGTCGTGCTGAGGCGACGGAACAAAATGGTGGCCAGTACGGTCATGTGATTGTTTCAGGCTTCTTTTCAGGGGTAAGGGCTACCGGAAGAGAGAGGTGAACACGACTTTTAAAATCGTTAAAGTAACTGTTATGTGAACGTTAAACTATTTGGCGATGTAGTACATTTATAGATCAAATATATGTTGACGGAGTATAATTAATTAAAATAAAACGATTAAGATTAAATGAAATGTTTTGGAGCGATCTATGTAATAAATGATATTTGCGCATGCGTGGGATTCTGCAAAACAACACATGGGGGCTGCAGGGAGACGGAGAAACACACAGACAGAGAGATTTTAGCACGAGTATTCTAGTTTAGAGATTGGTTGAAGATGAAACTTGCTTTGTAGCCTATTGAATTTATAAATTAGATATATGGTAGCGGATTATAATACATTTAATTAAAGAATTAAATAACGGATTAAAATAAAAAATAAAAAGGTTTTTGAGCGATTTATTTAATTCTGAGTTTAGTCTTAGAGTGAATAATGTAGAACAAACGAATATTGAATGGTTGGAGATACTCAGTGACTGCATTAACGACTAAATGTTATGTTGTGTCTTTGTTCTTCTGTCATATGAGAGGAACGCTAAGTGAGAGGAGCGAGGAGATACAGGAAGTGATCACGTCACGTGGCAGAGGATCAAGTCAAAAAGGGTTTGGTACTGATTATGGTTACAAGATCCTTCCCTAACAGGATATGTGATGTTATGACGATTTTGCAAGGGGCTTGGCAAATTCTATTTCAATAAAAGTTCCATTTTGGAGGCTATGTGCATCACTGGGCTGGATTGCAGTTCGATTGGAAATCAGGTACTGACATTATTCTTTAAATTTATGATAATTAGGGGTTATAGAGCAAGGGGTTAAAGGCTTTGTTTAGGGGTATTTTAGTCTGAAGATGACTAACTTGCATTTACTGGCAGTTGATGGGCTGTGGTAATATACTCAACACTAATGGATAAGGTGGTGACATAGGATATAGGAATAAAAATTGGTTTTAATTATTCAGGATTTTTAATTTACTTATTTGGATTTATTTGGAGTTGTTAGGTTATATTAAGAATTACAGGGGGGAAGTCTATATAACTTAAATAGTCTAAAATAGGATAGTTCACAATAAAGGAATATAAAGGGCTTGATATAGGGGGAAATTGATTAAAATAGTCATTTTTTTATCAAAGTAGACTAGTGTTAGGAGAGACTAATGGCAGAAGTTAGTACACCATTCTCACATATGGATTCAGCAGAAAGACATCATCCAGCAGGGTGATTGTGGCATCAGAGATGAAGACGAATATGAGCAGAAACAACGATGAAGATGAATCCAGAAGAAGGAAGGAAAATCGGGATGTCTGGGAACTTAAGGAGAAGAGGATGATGATGATGAGAGGTCATGGGTGGAGGTGACTCTGTGATCAGAAGGAAGTGGCAAGAATTGGAGGAGAAGAAGAATACATGGAGGCAAAGATGCTGAAGAAAAGTAAGAAGATGATGGAAGACGATATTTCAAGGACAGAACTTAGAAGATAACCTTTTGAAGAATACTGATAGAGAATACTGATAGGTCCACAACGAGAAGAACCGGACGAAGAAAACTCTATCAAATACAACTTATAACGGGTGGTGGAGAAGAAGAAAATAAGTGTTGGTTATGAGAATCAGAGTGAATCAAATCAACAATCACTGTTACAGCTTTAACTGAACATATCAAGGCAATTGTACCAACCAAGGGGGGGACCAGATGTTCCATATCGACGGTCAGTTTCTGGACAGACACAGAATTGGAGAAGAAGAACAGAGGAAGATCAACGAGCAAGTGAAGATCACCGGTGCTTTCCGGTGAACACTAAATATTCTAGAGTGCCGAGAATATCCGGAAGGGGTGCACTGCTGAGAGCATCAATTAGAGAAGAAGAGGAAATAAACGGGGAAAAACCCCAAAAATTTAAGTGATTTGGGTAAACTTTCTGGGGGTCAGGTAAAGAGGTTGGGGCCCATTAATTGGATTCCCTTTTAGGGTTTTTAGGGTACTTTCCCTTTAAAATCCGTTTAAATTAGAAGGCCATGGCGGTTTTGAGGGAAAGGTGCTTGGGGGTAAATTTAAATTTCATCAACTTTGAAATGTTTTTGGGAAATACTTTAAAAAAATTTTTTGTTTTGGTTATTTGCTTAAAGGGGAAATTAATTTGGAAGGAAAAAATTTGTTTACATGTTTAAAATCTTCCCCCGGGGGAAAAAACCCCTTAAAAAATTGCCGGTTATTTTGGGGAAAAGTTTTTAACCCCGGGTTTGAGGGGTTGGCTAAAAGGGGTTTTTTTATTAGTGTTTTTTTGCCGAATTTTGGTTTTAAAAAGTCTAAGCGGGTGGGGCTTTCCCTTTTTTCCCTTTTTCTACAATTTTTGAAAAGTTTTTGGCCCTTGGGTCAGGGGGAAAGGTTTTAAATGTTATGAGAGAAAAGATTAGATTAAAATAAGTTAGGGGTAGGATAGGTTGAAAGAACTCTGAGACAGTAAGCTAAGTTTCAAAGTTAGTAGTAAGACAGAGAGAGAACAGTGAGGAAGGACATTTTAAAGTTTAGTGGGAAGATATGGTAGGAGTTTAAATCGGTTAGGAGCAGATGCATTGAGAAAGTATGTGTTGCTGAATGATTTGAGGGTGATTGAGTATCTATATTTACAGTTTCCAGTAGGGAGATCAAGGTCATTATAGGTGTATTTTGTGTAATCAAAAGTTTAAAGTTTAGAGGTAGAACTGAAAGGGGGAAAAAGTGACACTAGTGGTGATAGATGGAAGTACAAGCAAAGACCATTTTTTTTCCCTTTGGGGAAAACTAGGAGTAACTAAGGACATTAACACTTCAGTCTATTATAACAACAGGGAGAAGCAATTTAACTCTTGCAACATTGATAGGTATTAAAGTCATAAACATATT